CCTGTTACTTTGTTTCTTTTGCCACAGTTTTTCTATTTCTATTTGCAGCTCTTTGTATGTTTTTTTAATTATTATTTTTGAATATTATTTCCTATAACCCCTTTTATTTGTTAGTTAAGTGCATAAGTTATGGGACCTCTATTCTTCCCATATGCTAATATTCAGGATTCAAGAATTGCCAAGATGCTACATCAAGATATAGTGTGGAAATATAAAAAATTAACAGAGAGATTTGAGACTTCTAGGTTTAAGCCTAGTCCATAAGATAAAAGATTGGAATTCTCAAGTCTTCTCTCCCTCAACCTTGTTATTATGGCTACAGAATTATGTGCAAGCCTTAACATAATTCTAAAAAGGATTGTGTGCGAGCCTTACGGTAGCTGACCACAGCTATGATGATAGCAGATGTCTTTATGTGTGGGCCAATCTGTGCCATGCCCATGGCATATGGAAGATTGTGAATTGAAATGTAAGAAAGTAAATAGTAGAGAGTATGCGTTAGTGAATGAATGAAAGGAAAGAAAAAAAGTTTATGTCTGGGAAACTAATAGAAAGAGGAAGGGTGCAATAGTTCTGAATGAAGTTAATCTCGGATTTTCAAAATTATAGTGTATATGCATAATTCACTGCCATTATTTCGAATTTTTGTAAGGGGTGCGAGAATATATCAGAAGCGTTCTAGCAGTGTGGGGTTTAGAAAAGTTGGGAACCACTTTCATAAAGTATGAACTGCTGGCATGCAAATTGTTGTGGGGTCATAGAAAAGTAAGAGATCATAGGCTGATAACCATTTTGGGAAAAACTGCAATATGGAATAACAGAAAAAAAATAAAATATGGATGTGCCTCACATAAAGAGGGATGGGGGTATTCATGTAACATGTGAATGAAGACTCTGTTCTTGCTTGACAGTTGGAAAATGCTATTGTCCAGCAGTATATTCTGATAATGACCAACCAACTGCACAAGGCAGCCCAGATGGCTTTCAGAAATAGTTACACTGCCATCAACACTAATAGCCATTGATAGTCAGGACCACAACTCAGGGTAACGGGCATTCATTTGATAAAGCACCTTATGTAATTGGCACAATTTGGATCAAAGCTGTATGAGAAATTGTCATCCACAAAATTTGGAAACCAAACTGTTGCTATATTATTTTTCTTTAGCAAGTTACAATAAATGTATGACTGAGAAAATGTATTACATGTTTCTTTCTTTAGAGATAGCATATAATAAAGTGTATAAATATATTTTGTATAAATAGGGGTGAGGTTTGCCCATATTTACCAAGTGATTTCCACTCCGATAAATTCATGAATATGAATTGAAAAAATTAACACATTAAAGTCAAAGGTAGATTGGTTTGAATGTGAAGTGAATTACTGCAGGTTGTATATAAATAGCAAAAAAAAAACAGAAGTAGTGGATGAATATTTGAATTTAACAGAATGTGTACTAAAGATAAGGGAATGGAAGAAGAAATGTTAAGCTCTACAAATGCTGTTAAGGTCGTCATAGGTAGTATGCTGTCTGTTACAAGGAATTAATGTTTGTCAGAAGAAATGAAAATGTGTGTAAGAGACAAGAAGTGAAAGTTGGGTAAATTAATATGGAAAAAATACAAAAGTAAGGAGAATGCAGTGGCAGTGGATTACTTAAGCACATGTGTAGAAATAGATGAACAATGAATTAGTGCAGAATGGATTGGTACAAACGTAATACATCAAGACAACTTTGCTATAGTATAAAGAGAATAAATATTATATCATAACAGAAATATGAAAAGGAAGTGTGTATAGGTCACAGGTGTCAAACTCACCACATCACGTGATATGTTGCGATGTATCACAATTTTTTTCACATTGCCGGAGCTGGTGTGGGCATGGCCTCTGCATGATGCAACCAGCCCGCGGGCTGGTAGTTTGACACCCCTGGTGTAAGTCAAGAGGAACGAGGAATGTAGAGGCATGGTTAAATGGAGAACAACAATAACAACAAATAGAGGTAATGAAGGAAGCAGTGTTTGGGCAAAGAAGAAGCAGATTTTTTTTTCTTACAATCAATTGGGTCTAATTTTCAAGGATTTCCTGGAAAGTCCCTACAATTTTCTTAGCAAGGTTTGCCATTGCCTTTTTCCTAGGCCTGGGAGAAAGTGACTGGCCCAAGGGTCACTCAACTCACTTTGTGTCTAAAGTGGGATTAGAATTCCCACTTTATAGTCTCCTAATTTCTCCTAGTCTTCAGCCTGGTCCTGTAACCACGACACTAAACAGGATCCCAAGGATAATTTAGCAGGATATAAATGTATGAAGGCAAAGAGTGAATAGTTTGGTGCGAATTAGATTTAACTATTTTTCCTTATCTCATGTTGTCATTCCTTCAGCTTACTATTTCTTACCATTTGCAATTTTCAAAATGTTACTTAGCCCAAAGTGGAAAAGAGTGATGGGCATGGGTATGTCTGTGTAGATTTTATCTCCACTAAAAAGTTTCTGAGCTGCATATTGTACATTTGTGAAGATTATGTATAGAGAGCCAGTTTGTTCTATTGGCAAAGGCATCAGGCTAAAAACCTGGGTGACTTTGGGCAATTCACACTTTCTCAGCCCTAAGAGGCAAAAAGAAAAAAAAAAGATGATATAGCCCATGGTTGTTTATCATTTATCAATATCATTTAGTCTCTCTATCGTTGCCATTTATCCAATAGTTATCAGGAGGGCAGATGACTTAAAAGCTGGGTCCAGACAACACAGTAAATCATAGTTTGCTGCATTGTGGTTTATTGAATTTTTGTAAGCTTTCATGGCTCAACCTATCAACAGTCAAAACACTTAGCTATATATAAAAAAAGGAACCAACTTGCTTGTAGTCTGCATAGCATACAGCAGACATGTCAAACTCGCGATGTCATGATGGAGCTTTTTCGCCGTTGCCAGCAATGGGGTGGGTGCGGCTCCGGTATGATGAAACTGGCCCACGGGCTGGCAATTTGACACCCCTGGCATACAGGAACAGATCACCTTATCTCTGAAATTGGCAGCTTCAGTTGGGATAGGAAAACTGTTGTCTAGATTACAATCACTAAATCCTGAAGCCCAGCATTGCCCAAACTATATTTGGTTACTATATGTTTACACCAGGGGTATTCAAACTTGGCCGTTTTATGACTTGTGGACTTCAACTCCCAGAATTCCTCAGCCAGGCATGTTGAGTGAGGAATTCTGGGAGTTGAAGTCCACAAGTCATAAAAGGGCCAAGTTTGAAGACCCCTGGTTTACACAAAGGCTGTGACTCTTCTGGGTAATACTGCTGAGTGTCAGTATGTCTGGCAATATCTCATTTGCCACCCTTGTGGCTCTATTTGTTTAATTGGATTTTCATAATTTAGAAAAGGAAGCTGGTATGCTGCAAAGCAAAGTGAAATGTGCTATAGCTCGGGAAGGTTTATACCTTTTAATAACATTTGTCAGGAAAGGCTCTATTAAATTTGTTCTGATTGTTTGGCTAGTGAAACCGTATGGATCAATATCCACAGAAAACCTCTTTATACTGCAAACCAACTCACCTTGAAAGCATTAAGGTCTTACTGGAGGTCTTACTGGATTAGCCTACTTCTTATAGCCTCAACATTTGCTTAATGCTCTCTTTGCTCCTTTGTAAGTTACAATTTCAGAAAATCAAAAGTTGGAAGGGACTTCCAATCGCTACTTTTCCTGCTCTATCTTATTAGTCAGGATAATCCGCTAGTTCACTGCTAAAGGATGCTTTATAGTTCTGTGTAATTAATCATTTTTTTCTTGTTAAATTTATTACATTTGTTGACAGAACAAATTGAATATTGTTAAATTTCTAGTGTAAAAAGCTGGTTAGTATTTTGTACTTGATTTTTTTTTCATTTTGATGAACTTGACTGAAGGTACGAAGAGAAAAAAATATCCCTGTGTTTTCAGTTTTCATTGGGTGCTTGCATACCTAGGCAAATTCATAGACAGGTGCAAATTAGAAAATGTGGTAATTAGAGAATAATTATAATAACATAAAGGGACAAGTACAAAAGACACCTGGTTCTCATATAACAGCCTGGGACTTTAGAACTGTAATATCTGTGAGTTTTTCTCCTATCTCCAGAAAGAATTGAGAAGCATAACATGTTAATTGCAGTATGACATACCTTTTAAATAACACCCTTATAAGTTGGCATGTCCCTATCTGGGTAAGGTCATAAAATTCAGTGGATCATTTGATGATCTGCTTTACAACCAGCACAATTTATGACCATCATTCCAGGCTCAGTTACAATTATAGGTTGAGAACAGACTGTACTTTAAATTAGATACCTGTTCTGAAACAGAATATTGAGATTCAAATTATATAACTGCACCAAAGAATGCCAAACAACAACATAAGAAAGATCTTGTGGTTTGGAATGAATATTTGATAAATATATTAACATATTATTACATTTATTCATGAAGTTGGTGTTACAAGACTACTGCTTCCATTCATCTGAAGTAGATAAATTGATTCTTTGTTCGGTAAAAAATATACCCCAGATTTTGTTTCTTTTAAAGTTGAATCTATTCTTTATATTTGTAGGGAAATATCAGATATTGGTGTTTGTTGCTATTTTATTTATTTATATTTATATTTCATATTTTTTAAATTGCTTATCTCCCTCAAAGAGAGGCTCCCAAGCAATAAAAACTGCATCAAAATGGATATTAAAATTAAAAATTAAATTAGGGTTAACATTTTAAATTATAGAATAATGATAATTAAACATTGAAAGGAGGAAAAAAAAAAACTATGAAGGCCAGTTAACACTGGACTGTTACAGATAGGAGGTTTTTTATTTTAATGCAAAATTGGTGAAAATACACCCAGTTGTTTAGCCGCAGAGCTTAACAGGAACATTCTGCATGGCCTAAGAAAATTTCCTGAAAAGAGAGTCTTTCTCTAATGTTTTTCTCCTTCCCTTTTCTGTTTCCTTTGCTCCAGGCTACATACCTAAACAAAATGGTGAGCCAAACTCTCAACACAAAGGACAAAAGATCAGTACATACACCCACAGAGGACCATTTTAAGTATTCATCAGGCAACCAAACCACTTCCTGTGATAACAAAAGCTGCCAGTTGTCAAGTGTCTGTCTCGGCAACCTCCTGAAGGAAAAAGAAATAGTGGAAGCTATCAAGCATACAAGAGACTCTTATGAAGCCCTCTCTTCTGAAGTTAACCACAATGGCTTAGCAGGAGTCATGCAAAGCATATCAAAATCAACAGCCAAGGCTGATAATGGCACCATTTTTCCTGGTACTCCAAAAGATCAACCTCGACAACACTCTACTTTCATAGGAAGGCTTGGGCAGCCCCCAAGAGGACCAATTTCTTTGCACATGTACAGCAGGAAAAACGTGTTCCTTCACCACAATCTTCACACATCTGAACTTCAGACTTTAGGCCAGCAAGATGGGTAAATAGAATCAGCACATATTTATTCAGGTGGACAATTGAACTGACTTTGATTCTTCTCAGCTGCTGCTACCCATTTGTTTTACTTTTTATAACAGTTGTTTCTGAAATTGGAGCTGTTCCTGTAAAATAAAGACAAGGACTTGGGTGGGGGAAGGATAGGGGAGCTAGCATGTTAACTTTAATGAGTAATTGAAATGGGCTTTTTTCCAGAATTCTCCAGATTGTAAATTCCAAATTTAGTGAAGTTGATGATATAACTGCCTTTTCCTATTGAATGGATGGGACATCTTGACTGAACATCCAGAAGAGATCCAACATTCTATTTTTACTTTTGCTGACCATCACTTGATTACCTACAATTTCTGAAGAATATATCAAAGAGCACTTCTGTTCTTTTAATAATGTTAATGTGGATGTAAATGTGAGGAATGAATAGAAATAGTAACAATGTCATGGTTCCGATAGATGAATCTCTTCAAAAGAACTTTGAGGCATTGTTTTCCTTAAAGAATCTTTTATTGGAGAAACAAAGTATTGGCACTACATAGTTGAAGCCAAAAACTGAATTCCCCTCCCCTAATTAATAGTCATAAATCACATTCCCCAATTAACTTGAAGTGCAGGCTTTCTCCCCATCTCTCCTGCCAGCCAAATTTCTATCAACTCTGGACCTAATAACCTTGGGTTCCCATGGCTGAGTTATTATTGTTATGACTAGTTGGACTCTCATCCACATTCAACGAACTCTAAAAGTGATAGAGAAAATTGGGGTAAGAAGATGATTGTAGTCTTTGGGATTTTCCTTCATTTTGCTTTGCTTTTATATATATATCAATCAGGAGTTTTTTGCCCTTTTCATATCAGTTTCATTTATACAAAAAACAGAAGAAGACAAAAATCTAGGTCTATAAAAATCATATAAAATTTAATTTGAAATGCTGATTCAAACTGGAAAATCAATCCAGTTATCTTTGGACATTTGCATTGATTCAGCAAACTGAATCAGTTCAATTTGATTAGAAAAAAAATTGGGTTTTGCACATGAGCAGAAGTGTTTAAATCATCCAAATGGATTTAGGGGCACACAATCACATTTTAAAAAATCTGAAAAAACATTTTAATTTGATTTAGAATTCAGCCGAATTACCTTAAAATCAAATCTCCAAATATCTTCACAGTTTTTTTCTTATTTTGGCTCCAAAAATAGAATTAAGTAGTATTAAAACCACTTAAGATTTGATTTAGCTTTCAAGGCTCAGTATTAATAATCATTTTGCTCCTGCCTTTTTGTCAAACAGTAGGGACTCACTTGGGCTGTGGCTGCATTATTTGTGGCATAATACATGAATTAAAATGTCCTAATGTTGATGGAGTCCAACATCAAACAATTTAGTTATTGTTAATAACAGCTGGCTTCCCAATGTACAGACATGCAGACCACTATAACTTAATTTGCTATTCATAGTCAAATTGTTGCAAGTCAGAATATTTTTGTCAGAACTTGCACCACCACATTAAATAACCACATTAGTAAGGGCATCAAATCAGCCAACTGATTATAAAAGAATAATAGTCCATGAGTTCTTGATTTTGTTACTTTTAATATCAAAATGAGTCAAGGTGGATAATGTGCAATAAAGAATTGTAAGCATTGTTGAACAATATTGTAGGTTCTCACACTGATTGTGCAAAATTTATCTAGATAACATGCCCAGCTTACCTTTACAGAAAGCATTTGGGTCTCATTTTATGGCAGAAAAGTGTTACATGTAAAATTAAAACTCACGGATGTACATACAACCATACTCATAGGAATTCAACTACAAGGGCTTCAACTGTTTGTATCTTCTCACAATTGATGTTTGTATCTTTCACTTATTTAGCTTTGTAAACTTCACTTTTCATTTGGGAAGGACAATTGAATGCTAATTAGTTTCCTTTATCTGGTTGGTGTGTTTATATTTGCCCACACTAACTGTTGCATACAGAGGGATAGTGACTTTTAATAACATAAAACAAGATAAAATTAGAAGAATCTCCTGGAGTCAATTAATTTATAACATACCATGAATTCAAAGTAAGCAAAATTCAGAAGACTTATTTCACTTAATTCAGTATATACAGTATCCCCTTTCCCCCCTATCAGTTTGATAAGAGACATGGTAAGAAATTTTTAAACTTCTGTTCATGAGGGTTGTATTTCACAATAATTGAAAAAAAAAGAAACCCCATTTTATAAAATGCATTTTTTTCCTCACATTTTGCCTATGGTTTAGAAATGGTGCAATTCTGTGCATGTTTACCATAAATTAAGCCCTAGTGAAATAAATGGCATAGGCACCTTTATGTCTAGTTAAGATTGTAGCTTGAGATGGCAATAGCAACTGATCAAGCTATATATTATATAGTAACACCAGTGTTTGATTTTCAGAGAAAAAGATACAAAATGGATATTGGTATTGTTCTTAGAACAGCAATATGGGGAAAGGCTTACCCCTTCCTTCTTCAACAACAGCCTCATCCCCATTCCCCCCCCCCAATCACTCCCCATGCAACCACAAAACATAGGTTGTATCTTATGGCTTAATATAGGGATCTTCAAACTTGGCCCTTTTATGATTTGTGGACTTCAACTCCCAAAATTCCTCAGCCACTGTGCCTAGCTGAGGAATTCTGGGAGTTGAAGTCCACAAGTCATAAAAGGGCCAAGTTTGAAGACCCTTGACTTAATACAACAGGCTGCTTGACATAGCATACTAGGACAGTGGCCCAGTTTTTATTCATGCTCTTTAAATTCACATGGGTTACTGGTTACAGAGTCAGGCTTGGACCAGATTTGCTGCTTCCATGAAGCTGTCTATCTATAATCACAACCTACCCTAACTCCCAGGTTTTTTATGAGAACAAATTTGTGAGAAATGTCCTTCAAGTAAAGTGAATGATTAAAAGTTGCATCAGCTGTAGTTTGGAAATTCTGCTTTTTATTCCTAGTCCTCTATACCTAGCTGGCACTGAGTAATTTAGTTCTTGGGAAAGTCTTTTTAAAAGGTTTGGGCACTACTTTGTGGGCTTTCTTCAAACCTCCATTAATCTTACCTGGTTGTTGTTTATAGATAGTCCTTGACTTACACCAGTTCATTTAGTGACCGTTTGAAGTTACAACAGTACTGAAAAAAGGGATTTACGACCATTTTTCACACTTACAATCATTGCAGCATCCCCAAGGTCACGTGATTTAAATTCAGGTGCTTGACAACTGGTTCATATTTATGACAGGGTCATGGGTTCCCCATTTGCGACCTTCTGGCAAGCAAAGTCAATGGGGCAGCCTGATTCACTTAACAACCGTGTTACTAACTTAGCAATTGCAGTGATTCACTTAACAAATGTGGCAAGAAAAGTCATAAAATGGGACAAAACTCACTTAACAAATTTCTCACTTAGCAACAGAAATTTTGGGCTCAATTGTGGTCGTAAGTCAAGGACCACCTGTATTTAGTAATGCCATACTATGACTTGCTCTATTAAGAAGTTTAAAAAAATCCTAGCCCATCAATTATCAATAGTAGAATTTCACTGTTCTGATTTAGAAGTGTATCTCCTATTAATGGAATACATGATGATGATGGCTTTCAATGTGGCTTATGGAAAGGGTAATTCTTTGCAGCTGTGTAGCCACCCTGCCAATTCCATGGTTAAAAACAGTTCTTTCCAAATAAAGGTGCCTCTTCCATTTTATGCACATCTAAGGTCTAGGTCTTGAAGAGGGGATGTCTTTTTTTTTGTGATGTCTCGAAAATTGCATAATGACTGTGAAAAGATAACTCTGTAATTTTCTTAATTTTAAAAAAAATGCATTTTGCTGTTAAACAAGCAATATAAGAGTTAAAACAAGGGGTATAAGCTGAGAATATCCACTTGTTCCTGTTTTGTATCAGTTTTTCCAGCATTCGTGTAGTATTTGTTACAATACCAGAAATGGAACCACCTCCTTAGATGGCAGCTATATAATATTGTACAATAGTAACACCTCCAAAGCAGAGGTCATTTGCAATATACTCTTGTGTATAATACAACACATAAAACAAATGACATGCAGACATTTTTTCAATGAATAGGAACCTTTGTACTGAAAAAGATCTCTAGTTTTGTAAGACCCTTCCATGTAAAAATGATTTTTACATCTTTGCAAGGCTGCACATAGCCAAGCTTTCTGATGAGCCAAAAAACATGTGTTTTGGGGGTGCATGTCTTTTTCTGTGTGCATTGTGTGTGTGTGCATCGACATACACATGAACAAACATACAAACTTCTATTGTTTATCTCAGAACTGCTGCTGTCAAGTTTGACACCTAGATTGCAGTAGAAGTTTTAACTGATATCTTAAGGAAATTGGAATCATTTGAGAGAGGGGAAAAAATGTTTTTATTGCAATCTGACACCATACATTTTTATTTTTCTCATAGAGACAAAAGGGCTGTAGCTACCATTCTTCACACATAAGAGACTTTTTATAAAGAGAAATCATTAACATGTTAGTGGTGCAAGAGCATCAATAAAGTTACACAATTTATGGTACTTTTGATAATTTACAGTACACATAATCCTTAACTTACAACCATTCATTTAGTGATGGAAGTTACAATGGCACTGAAGACAATGATTTATGACTGTTTTTAACACAATCTTTGCAGCATCCCATGGTCAGGTGATCAAAATTCAGACACTTGACAAATGGCATGTATTTATGATGGTTGCAGTGTGCTGGGGTCATGTGATCACCTTCTGACATGGAAAGTTAGTGAGAAGCCAAATTCACTTTACAACCATGTTACCAGCAACTAATTCATTTAACAACTGTGGCAAGAAAGATTGTAAAATGGGGCAAAACAACTGTCTTGCTTAGCAATGGAAATTTTGGGCTCAGTTATGGTCGTACGTTGAGGACTGCCTATATCTTATAGCTTCTAGGACCTCATGTGCTTCCATGCTGCAAAATTAATATGCACAGTTGAAAAAAAATGGTTCTGACCTTGACTGATACAAAAATCTTAAATCCCACTGATAAGCTTTTGCTCAAATCCCTCCATCAATATCTAAAAAAAACCCCACATCACATTTCACCCATATTTACTCAAAGTTGATGAAACATAATTGTCTCAAAGGTGCTTTTTCAAGAGGCAACTGGATTTTGTTTGTTTTTCCTTGAAGATGTTTCACTTCTCATCCAAGAAGCTTCTTCAGTTCAGGTACACATTACTTTTAATTCTACCCTAATGCAGTCTAGTCTAGAGTTACTAGGTTAATGTTCAATTCAGCCAGTGGTGGGATTCAAATATGTGAACAACCGGTTCTCTGTGTGGATGCCGCTTCTGGAAATCCATTCTGGGCCTGGACAACAAAAAATTAGCTACCGGTTCTGCCGAAGTGGTGCAAACTGGCTGAATTCCACCACTGAATTCAGCCATGAACTCATAGCCTCAGGTAAGATATTGTTTGCTAGGTTGTTCATCATGTTGACCATGTTTAACCATGATTTTTGAATAAGCCATAATTGCTAGGTTAATACA